TCCGGCCTTTCTCTGAGATCTAAAAGAGGCATACTCTTATAGAGGCAATTTCCACAACAACACTGTTTCTGGAGGAATAAGAGCACGTGCCCAGATCAGTGGGTGATGCTACATTAAAAAATGAGCCTGAAGGCTAACAAGGAGAAGGTGCCCACCGCAGAGCACTTTTCTCTGCCCATGGTGATGTGAGTGCACAGGAAGGCTGTGAGAATTTAAAAGTAGAGGACCTGATCCTGCTAACAAATAAGCTGTAAAGTCAGTAAAGAGAGCTACCTATATCAACAAAATCAGGTCTTGGCTATGTTTAAGAAATCATCCTTTAGCCTTTCACTTGTGTCTCTCAGAAAGTTACAACTAGAGGGAGAGATTTCTCTCTCCTCACTCCCTCCCCATGATGGCAATGAATGGATGAATGAAAAGGTATTTTTGAAGCCCTATGCTAAAGCCTGGGGATGGAAATGCAAAGCAAAAAACAGTGCCTGACCTCAAAGAACTTACATTCTAACAAGAAGAGACAATACATAAAGGAAAGTGGTGGCCTGAAAGGAATATTTTGGTTTTGAAAAGTACAGGTCTAGAGAGCAGGGCCATAAAAGAGTAGAATGCTACAGATTTTTCCAGATAAATAAAAGAATTGATTTGATAATAGATCCAGAATTAGGAGTGGCATAAAGGGTACACCTGAAAAGTGAAGACATACACAGAATAAAAATGAGATTTTAGAAGAAAATTTACTATACACCAGGTAAATCCAAATAATCTGTAGTTGCAATCAAGCGATCAGAAAAAGCAAAAACAAAACTTTACAACATAAAAAAGCATAACAAGGAAACCACATTTTGCTGAAAGGAACTATAGATCAAACTAATATTAATAGTAAACTCATATGCTCCAACTGCTTTAGGATCTAAATTCATAAAGGAAAATCGAACTAAATTACAAGACGATATAGACAGTAAAACTGTAATATTAGGTAACGTTTATTTATCTCTCAGTTTTGGACAAATCTAAAAAGTAAAAGGGAAATTGTAGAAATGAACAAAGTTCTGGAGAAACAAAAGTTAAAGGTCTTATGGCATCTTCTAAATGACAGTGATAGAGTGTACATATTTCTGAGCATCAGATGTAACTTTGGCAAAAACTGCTGATGTTACAGCACAATGATATTGCCAATAAATAGTATCCTTTGCAGACCCTAACACAATAAAAACAGTTATCAGTTTAGAGTACAAAAAAAGACATAGATCCAAACAGAGACTTAAGAACAAAATCCTAAGTAATGAGTTGTCAAAGAACAAATCACTGAAACAATTTGTAATTTTCTAATTGTCTGAAAGAAAATTATAATGATGAAGCAACATGACAAAATGTCTAAGACGCAGCTCAAGCAGTCCTCGAGGGAAAAAGTATATTACCAAAATATACAGTGACAAAATACAAAGAGAGAGAATTAAGTAGCTGAACTACCTACTTTTTAAAATTCGAAAGCCCACAAACCCAAAATAAGCAGAGGAGATATTCAAAATTAGAGGGGAAAAATGGGAAAACCTGGCAACTAAAAACACTATAGAAATGACAAACAAAACTAAAAGCTGGATCTTTGAAAAGACTAACAAAAATGATTAAACTTTAGTCAGCCTCATTAAAAAGAAGGCAGAAAATCAAATTAACAAAAGAGCAAAGGACTGGGTGAAATCACAACAAAGCCAGAACCATGAGACTCTGCTATGTAGTTACATGCTTTTAAAAAAAATTTTGAAAATACAAAAGAAATATAAGAATACTTTCAAAAATGTGAAATGCCAAAACTAACTGAAAACCAAATAGAGATATTAAATACTCCAATTTCAGAAAAGGAAATGTAACTATCTATAAAGGGGGAAGGGTCCTGATGGATTCACAAATATTCTATCAAAATTTTAAAGAAAAATTAGGACCAATACTAACCAAATTATTCTCCAAAACTGAGAGGAAAAAAGGATTCTAACAGACTCCTTTTGTGATACAAAAATAGTCTGGATACCTAAACTAGGGAAGCATAAAGCACAGAAGAACTAGAGACTGATACCATTAATGAATACTGATTCAAAAAATGTTAATGAATTCTTGTCAGACAACAATAATTCATCCATGAAATCATTCATTATGACCAAGTATGCAAGGATGTTTCAACATTAGGAAAATAATCAATGCAATTAATGATGCTAAAACCAAAAACATCTAAATCCACATATTATCTCAATACCCTTACCTGTGGGTACTCTGCCCAATGAAATATAGATTTTGATCACTAAAACCTCACAGGTTATCCTGGAGTTTGTAGGCTGGATTTCTTTTTTTTTTCTTCCCTATTTATTTATTCCATTATTTTTGAGGAAAGAAAAGGCTGGGACAATCGACTTTTTGCCCCTACATAGTTTCATTTATGATTTCTTCAAATACAGCATTGGAGGTTGGGGCTTTGATAAAACCCATTGGGACCCTGCCTTAAACCCAAATCACTCTGGCTCTCACTGACTGGCCAACAATAGGTCCCAGGCCAAGCCTCACTTGGTCATTGTTTGGGTTTTGATGGTTCAGAGTGAGTGTAAATAGCAATTGTTTCTGTTTTGGCCAGAAACCCTGAATATCTTTCCCTCCTACATTAATTATTTTTTTTACTATGAGTACATTTTTTTTTACCACATTTCTTACCCAGCCTTAATCAATGAATGGGCATTGCCTCAGACATACTGAGACTTGGGAAAGATCTTAGATTAAAAAGGCCAAGGCCTCCCGATATGTCCTGGCCCATCTCCAGTCTTCCTGATCCATATCTCGCCATTGGACCCAGATGGCTCTGGAGTAGAGGATGAGGCTGATGACTTTGCACAGCCCTGCCTCACTTAAATCCAATTCACTTGTAAGTCAAAACATCACCTCCCTGATGTCATTGGTCTTCTTCAAGAATGAAGGACAAACAACAGTCTGACAGTATGTGATAACACACTATTGAGTAACATTTCATGGCAACTATGAAACCAAGGTCAACATGAGCCAGGTGAATCTAGCATCAAAGGCATGAGTCACTCTCCTTGGCTGTTTATATTCCCTGCATGTGTGCCTCTCTACTTTTGACTTCTGTATGAATTCTACTCTTCTAATCGCTTTGAATACTTATGGGATAGCATAAGCCAGGTTATGGAGAATGTGCTTATTACCATGTTAATCAAGGAAATGCCTTTGGTTTTAGCCAATTTTACCCTCTGGCTAACCATTGGAGGTAAATTCATTAATGAGGGTTCATGAGTTGTGATTTTAAGTGTATGGAACCAGAAAGTCCCTTCAAACTGGGGTAGCTGTTCCTTAGGGAACCCAGTCTGCCAGAATGAGTTGGGTAGGTATACCAGATGGTGAGCTACATATCTATAAAACAAGAAACATTTTACCCAATTCTATCATGTACACGGGGCAGCTAGATGGCTCAATGGATAGAGTTCTGGGCCTGGAGTCAGGAAGACCCTAGCCATGTGACCCTAGGCAAGTCACTTAACCTGTTTGCCTTAATCCACTGGAGTAGGAAATGGCAAACTACTCCAGTATCTTTGCCAAGAAAACCTCACCAATGGTGTGATCCATGGGGTCACAAAGAGTCAGATGTGACTGAGCAACAACAACAAAAGTCATGTACATTGGTCAAAGAGGAGAAAACCCCCCAAGTCTAAGCTGAAACAAAGGAGCCAATCATGGAATCACACCTGGCTATGCATGTGTGATGATTGATTTAGTCGTTCTGCATACCACTTTAAAAGGTACACAAGGAAGTTGAACATTCCCTAGAGTACAGTACTATAACTCTTCCTGGGCCTTCTACGCAAACCCTCCTATGATGATAGCTGTATTTTATATAGCATGTTAAGATTTACAAAGTTATTTATATACCTTATTTAAGACTCAAAACATCACTGTGAGAAAGTTATTATATATGTCGTTTATTCCCATTTTACAGGTGAGGAATTTAAGATTTTAAAGAAGCTAAATGATTCATCCCTGATCACAAAGATTTCAGTATCAGAGGAGAAACTTGGGCCTACCCAGAGGTATAACTAGCATTTTGCTTTCAGGGAATGTTTTACAAAATGCAAGACCCAGTGATGGCTGCTCTATGCTATGTAGGGTTTGAAGTGAAGCTCACCTGGGCTGTAGTAGCTAGGGGGAAGAAAACACATTCTACCTCACAGCTTCCTATTTTTCCTGATTGTTCTAAGCACAGTTTTTCCTAAGTTGCACAGGGTACGCAAGTGCTATGAGCAACCTCCAAATTCTAGCATCTAAAGCAAAGCACTGACCTAATTATATGTCCATTTAATCCATGTCTAGCATTCTTTGCCCGCGCCATGCTTCATCTTTATTCTTCTTTCCTCAGACATCTCATTTCCCACCTAGCTGCATTCATTTTGGATTTGATCTAACTGTACTCATTTTGGACTTCTTTCTCCACCATGCTCCCATGCCAGGTACCTACCCTTCTATCTCCCCTTTTCAATTTTCTTTTGTGTGTAGTCTTTCATCACTAGATTGTAAACTCCTTAAGGGCAGGCCTATTTTTTTCACATTTGTATCCCAGCACTTAGCACAGTGCCTGGCCCATAGGAGGTGCTTAATAAATGTTTATTCACTAACTGACTGATTCTTCTGTGCCCAGTGGATAAAGACAGTAGTGTACAAACGCTATCTTCTCCAATTGTATGATAAAAACTTCTCCCACAGAAACCCGTGGAAGGATACCTTAATAAGTTATCATGAACCTTGTTTTCTGATACAGATGCCATAGATTCATACTGAAGTGAATATTTTCCACAATGCTTTATTTTTAATTCAAGTATAGTTTGAAAAGAGTTTTGTAGATTTTATTATTCTAAATTTTCTTTCTTAATAAGAGTAATCAATCTAAAGATATATCAGGATCTTCTGCTTGCCTAAATAAAAATATAACACTGAAGAAATAGTAAAAAACAAACCTTTGGTGAGCAAACCATTCTCCAGTGTATGTATCACTATTTACATAGTAATAAACTCCATGGCCATGCCTTTGGTCATCTGCCCAGTCTCCTAAAATTAACAATTCAAAAAACATGCCAGCATAAGTAATCCAATTTAGACTATCTTTGAATGTTTATAATTTACTATGGTTATTTACACACACACACACATACACGGGAGGAAGTACCCTTAGAAAGTGAAATAATGGTACTTTTAAAATGTTTTATTGATGCTTTTTATTTTTACACCATGATCTATTCTTAACAAAACCCCATCCAAAAAATCTTCCTTTGCAATTGTAACTTGATTCTGGCCTGGAGAGGGAAGGGGGGGAGAACCTTGAAGGAGGTACCTGACCAATGCACAGTGACCTTGACTCCTAAGCCTAACCCCCTCACCTTTAGGAAAAGAATGTTTAGGGAGAAGATGAAAGAAACTGGAGATGGAAGAGTTGAACAAGGAGGAAAAGAAGAGATGTGAGCACAGATATGTGGAGAAAGACGGCTTCCAAGAGATAAGTTAGCCACGAGGACCTGTCAGAGGACCTGGACTAAACCTGTACTGCAGCATGATGGCACCAGGAATTCTCAGCTCCTGGGCAAGGACAGCCAACCAAGGAATAGGGCAGATCCACTGACCCCTGTCACATAGTGAAGTCTCTTTTCCAATTAACGGGTGTGCAAGCTTGCTTGTGCCTTCTATGCGTTTTAATAGATTTTTATTTGATATCTTGTTTCTACATTATCTAGATTTACGCCTATATCCCATCTCCTCCCCCCTTGCAGAAAGCAATCCTTTACAGAAGGAAGGTAAAAAGAAAGAAAAGAAGGAAGGAAGGTAGGAAGAAAGGAAAGAAGGAAGGAAGGAGGAAAGGAAGGTAGGTAGGAAGGAAAAAACAAAGGAAGGAAGGAAGGAGTGAAGGAAGGAAGGAAGGAAGGAAGGAAGGAAGGAAGGAAGGAAGGAAGGAAGGAAGGAAGGAAGGAAGGAAGGAAAGAGGAAGGAAGGAAAGAACTTTTAAAGGAAAAAAAGAGGAAGAGAAGAAAATAGTCCACAAAAACCAATAACTATATTAGAAAATCTGGCATTATATGCAATGTTCCACATCTGTAGGACACCCACCCCTGCAAAGAAGGGGGGGGGCAAAGGGGTAGGAGGAGGTACCTTCTTATATCTTCTTTGGGGCCAAAATAGTACTTTAAAAATATGTAACATTTATTTTTTGCTTCTTTGTAGTTGTTGTTCTTTCCATTTAAATTGTTGTAGTAACTGTATACCTTGCTTTCCTGGCTCTATTTACTTCATTTTGTATCTGTTCATGTAAGTTTTTTCTGTGCTCCTCTGTATTAATCATATTCTTTATTTTTTTTACAGCAGAATACTATTTTATTACATTCATATAATACAATTTATTAATCATTCCCTAATCAGTGGGAGTCTTACCTTTTTTGAGTTCTTTGCTGCCACAAAAAGTATTATTTATAGTAATACTATAAATACTATAAATATTTTGGTGTATATGGATGTTTTCTTTGTCAATAACCCCCATACCTATTAGTGAAATCTCTAGGTCACAGAGTATAGACACTTTAGTGGCTTTATTTGCATACTCTAATTCCAGATTGGTCATGCTGATTTACAGCTCTAGCACCAATGCATTAGTATGCCTGTCTTTCCCCAGCTCCTCCATCATTGACTCTTCTCATATTAGTGTGAAGTGAAAGTTCAAGGTTGTTTTGATTTGCATTTCTCTTATTAGTCATTTGGCTCATCTTTTCATATGGTGTTTAATAGTTTGTCTTTCCATGAACTTGGTGGTGGCCATTTGTACTGCTGTGCTTTAGAAGAGGAGAGGGATAAAGTCAAGATGGTGGAGTGAGAGGTAGCATTTAACACAGCTAAATCAGCATACCTCCCTTGACAATGATCTAGAAAATGCACTAGACCAAATGCTGATTGGGAAAACCAAGGAAAAAGTCACAGACAGACATTTTCCCAGCCCACAGCAGCTCAGGGAGACACAGAGGGCTATGGACACCGGTGACAGGGTCCCACTAGGAGCACAGCATGGTGCATTCTAGCACTCCTAAGGACTAAAAGAGGGATGAGACAGAACACCAGGGCAGGAAGTACTGGGGCAGAAGGAGATCCCAGGGCATCACTGAATAAGTGCTAGGTACAAGAAGGGGTAATTGTGCCTCACTACCCAGTTCTAGGTCACGGATCCAAGGCACAGAGATCACAGGTGTGGGCCCTAGTTGTACAATGAGCAAGAAACGAGTTCTAAAAGCAAATAGTAGTTGTGTGGCTCTGATCCCAGAAGCAGAGCAATGACTCAGTTCTAGCTTTTACCTCAGCATGCAAGCCTGCAATGAAATAACCAGGACAGGAGTCCCATACCAAAGGAGAGTCAGCAGACAGGTCATTCAAAACACAAAAAGCCTCCCAGTGGGGCAACTGTGGCTGAATCCAGCAACAGTCTGCTGAAACTCCCAAACAAGGACAAGCCCACAAGCCCAAACCTGGGTCAGGAATTTGCAGAGCTCAGACCAAGAGGGCAGTAAACTGACCTCACCATGGATTACACTACCTTGGGAGCCCTAAAAGCTTGCAGAACCCCAGCTTGAGCTGTGAAAGCAGCTGAAGGAAATGAGAGGACAGACAGTTGGGCCAGACATCTTTGCCCAAGAAATGCACAGAGCCCATCACTATCATACAATCCAAAGTCAACAAGTAGATTAGGAGAATAAGTAAACAAAAAAAGTACCCCATCATAAAGAGCTACTATAGTGACAGGGAAACTCAAAACACAAACACATTAGAAGACAACTATGTGAAAGCATCTATAAGCAAAGCCTCAAAGAAAAATATAGATTGGATACAAGCCCAAAAAGAATTCTTAGACTAGCTAAAGATTTTTGAAAGAGCAAAAAAATTATTTTAAAAACCAAACAAGAGTAGTAGAGGGAAAAAATGGAAAAAGAAATGAGAGTCATGCAAGAAAGTTATAAAAAAAAAAAAGATTTAATAGCTTTATAAAAATACAAAGCATTAGTAAAGAGAATAATTCCTTAAAAATTTATTAAATGAAAGCTAATGACTTCATGATATCAAGAAATAATAAAACAAAGACTTTTTTTAAAAGAGAGAGAAAGAGAAGAAAATGGTAAATATCTCATAGGAAAAACAACTGACCTGACAAACAGATCAAAGAGAGAAAATTCTTTTTTTATGCATAATTTATTTATTTTTAGTTTTCAACATTCACTTCCACAAGATTTTGAGTTCCAAATTTTCTCCTCATCTCACCCCTCCCCCCACCCCAAGATGGCATGCATTCTAAATACCGTTTCCTATAATCTGCCCTCCCTTCTGTCTCTCCCTTCCTTCTCTTATCCCCTTCCCCTTCTATTTTCCTGTAGGGCAGGATAGATTTCTATACCCTATTTCCTATATTTTGTATTTCCAGTTGCATGTGAAAACAAATTTTTAACATGTGTTTTTAAAACTTTGGGTTCCAAATTTTCTCCTTTTCTCCCTCCTCACCCACCCTCATTGAAAAGGCAAGCAACTCCATACAGGTTATACATGTGTAGTCATGCAAAACATTTCTATAGTAGTCATGTTGTGAAAAACTAACTATATTTCCCTTAATCTTATCCCACTCTCCATTTATTCTATTCTCTCTTTTGACCTTGTCCCTCCTCAGAAGTGTTTGCTTCTGATGATTACCCCTCCCCAAGTCTGCCCTCCCCTCTATCATCCCCCTGCTTTCTTGTCCCTTTCCTCCCCTATTTTTGTGTAGGGTAAAATAGATTTCCATACCCAATTGAGTGTGTATGTTATTCCGTCCTTAAGCCAAATCCTGTGAGAATAAGATTCACTCATTCCCTCTCACCTTCCTCTGTTTCCCCTCCACTGTAAGAGCCTTTTCTGTCTGTTTTATGTGAGATAATTTACCCCATTCTACCTCTCCCTTTTTCCTTCTCCCAGTATAATCCTCTCTTACCCCTTAATTTTATTCTCCAAATATCATCCTTTCATCTTCAACTCACTCTGTGCCCTCTATCTATCTATCTATCTATCTATCTATCTATCTATCTATCTATCTATATACATACATATAATTTTTTCCCTACAACTACCCTAACACTGACAAAGGTCCTCATGAGTTACAAATATCATCTTTCCGTACAGGAATGTAAACAGTTCAACCTTAATAAATCTCTTATAATTTTTCTTTCCTGTTTACTTCTTCATGTTTCACTCGAGTCTTGTATTTGAAAGTCAAATTTTCTATTCAGCTCTGGTCTTTTCATCAAGAATGCTTGAAAGTCCTCTATTTCACTGAATGATCATTTTTTTCCCCTGAAGGATTATGCTCAGTTTTGCTGGGTAGGTGATTCTTGATTGTAATCCTATCTCCTTTGCCCTCTGGAATATCATTTTCCATGCCCTGTGGTCCCTTAATGTAGAAGTTGCTAAATCTTGTGCTATCCTGATTGTGTTTCCCCAATATTTGAATTGTTTCTTTCTGTCTGCTTGTAATATTTTCTCCTTGACCTGGGAACTCTGGGATTTGGCTACAATATTCCTAGGAATTTTCCTTTGGGGATCTCAAAGAGAAAAAATTCTAAGAATCATAGGACTGCTCAAAAGCCATAAATAACAAAAATCAAAAAAAAGCCTAGACATAATATTTCAAGAAGTCATAAAAGAAAATTCCCAGATAGCTTAGAACCAACCAGAGGATAAAGTAGAAATGAAAGAATATACCAGTCATTTCATGAAAAAAAGTCCCAAATTTAAAACTCCTGAATGTTTTAGCCAAAATCCAGAGAGATCAGGTCAGACAAAAAATTCTGCCAGCAGCCAGAAAGATAGAATTTAAATACAGAGGAGCAATAGTCAAGATCACATAAGATTTAGCAGCCACTACTATAAAGAAGCAAAGAGCTTGGAATACAATATTCCAGAAGGCAAAGGAGTTATTATTACAAACAAGAACAACCTACCCAGCAAAATGAGTATTATCTTACTGGGGGAAAGAAGTGTACCTTTAATGAAACAGA